AAAAGGTGAACCCGAAATGCGATTTACAGGTCAGGGACACTAAAATCAAGCAGGTGTGGGAATTTAAATATATTGGAAGTGTTCTGACAGAGGATAATAAATGCGCCATATTAGGATGACCAAAGACGCATTCCAAAAGTTAGGTAGAGTATTACGAGAAGGATTTCGTTGGTAACAAAGAAAAGCGTACTGAACTGCTACGTGATGTCCTCCTTTACGGCAGCGAATATTGGATGGTCTTCTCAAAGATGAAGAAGATACTCGAGGCAACGGATCTATGGTTCTACAGAAGGATGCTGAGGATAACATGGACTGAACATGTGAGCAACGATGAGGTTTTGGAGAGGATGAAAACAAGGAGAATCCTTACACTTAACACCAGGAAAAGGCAGCTGAAATTTCTGGGACACGTAATAAGAAAGAAGAGCTTTGAGAGTCTGATACTCACAGGGCGGAGAGAGAGACAAGAGAAAGCAACGCGTGACATACCTAGCGGGCTTAAGCAAGTGAATGACAGAACAGGATTTGGAAGAAGTAGTAAAAGGGCAAAACATATTTAGAACTACAAGGGATAGGAGGAAGTGGAGAGCCATGATCGCATACGTCCTGAAGAGGCACGGCACATAAAAGTAGAATATCTCCTTGTATGGTAGAGTGATGTTTTATCAAAATAATGTGCTTTTTCTATGGTGACTAGACTTTTTGAATTTAAGCACAGTACTAGACTGGCATCGAGATCTCATCAATTTACAGTTGAATTGGCCGCTAGATGTAAATCAAATTCTATACTAACAGTTTCTTTCCTTGCATTTCTCGCATGTGGAACTCCTTCCGGCTCCATGCTTTCCTTAATCTGCAAAAATTTAAATGCAATATCAATGGCTATCTACTGTCTTCCTGATTTACTCTTTCTGCTCATTATTAATGTTACCATTCCTAATTCTTGCACACCCTGTGACCCCCTTGTGTCTTTGTGGCTTTACAGCCTTGCATGGAGTGATATCGATTAAAAAAAGACAATCCCTGCTCAAGATTTCACTATGATGAGCGCCAATTGATATCTTGATCCAATAAAAATATTTTTCTTAAAATTTATGAATTATGTTCATTAATAAATTATGTTTTCAACAATTATACTGCTGAAAGTAATATTTCTCATACAATCTTTATTAAACTTAAAAATGTACAACATTCTAATAAATATAAATTAATAAATGAAAAATATTTCGCGGTCTGCAAGCAAAATTGTATTATTCAAGAATCAGTTTTAGATATTAATTCACTTTGAGTTTAAACGAAATTCTGTGTTTTATTTTTATTCAGACATTAGTTCTTTTCCTCTTATTTTTATGACTTTACAGGAAATTTCCACTTAAAATATATCCTACATAATAGGTTTTAATTATGTTTACATTTACATGTAATTTATCGTATCGTCTCAAGGTCCTCGGCAAAATCCAGAGATGGGTATGCAATGTGATTGGTCCTGATCTGGCATCTCGTCTACAGTCACTTTCTCACAGACGCTTCCCTCTGTTTTTTCTACAAATACTTTCACGGTATCTGCTCCGACGAGCAACTTTCGCTGGTTTCCAAACTGCATGAATTTAAGCGTGCTACTCGGTTGGCATCTCAGTCGCACCCTTTGACCGTCGAAACGGTTAAATGTAGCCGTTTCTTCTACTGCATAGCTTTATGTCTCGCACTTCCCGTGTGTGAAACTCCCTTCCTCTTACTTGCTTCCCTGATAGCTATAGTCTTCAATTATTCAAAGGTAATGTCAATCGACATCTTCAGATCCCTTGATCTAATTCCCTGTCCTTCTCTTCATCTTTTCCTCTATCACGTCTCCTTACTCTTGCTCCCATTCTCTGTAACCCCTTGAATGCTAGTGGCAATCCTACCTCGCCTGGGGTGAAATTAAAAAAAAAGTTAAGTAAATATGCAAAAAGAAAAAAAAGATTAAACATAAATACTTAAATAACACCGCAGGGGAATTAGTTTTTAGAAAATTTGGAAAAAGAAAATGAGAAATGTGTAGAAAAATGAGAGAAAAGCTTTGCATTTACAAATCAAATGTAACAGACGAATGAGTAAACAGAGAAGTTGATCTTATAAAAGAAAGAACATCAATAAAATAAAAACTTATTTAGAGATATGTCTATATTTCTGAGATTAGGTATTGTAATTATTTACCCTATTTACATTGTTCGAGATCTTGTCCCCATCTTTGTTGTCATATTCACCACATTTCGGCCGTTGTACGCTTCGGCCTTCCTCGGATGATTGGAATTTCGAACCGAAACCTTTATTTCGTCCACTACATTGTTCTAGTTCCACGTGCCATGTCTCTTCCGGATATCTCAATATCAGTTATCTCCCTTAAAGTCAACTCTACAAGTTTTTGTTCACCTCTGCTTTATCTAGGTATTGAAATCACAACTCTTTGGGTTAAGTCACTGGATTCAACCAAGGCTTTTATCCACTTAGGTTTAGCAGATGGCTCGCCATTATCACCAGCAATGGCTAACATATCCATGGAATACTTCGAAAAAATTAGAATCCACATAACTAAAGCTGATATACGTAAATGACAACTTCATACTCTGGCCACACTAGGATGAGGTCCAGTTACTAGTGGACCATGTGAACACAATGTACTAGTATCTCGTGCAGTATATGCAAGCCAACATTCACCGGAAAATACTTCAACTTCCACCACCCATACAGTGTAAAGAAAAGGATCGTCCACTGTCTAGAACATCGAGCAAAAGTCATAAGTTGCGACTCAGAGACATATGAACAAGAAATGGCCAGTATAAGCACTAAACTACAACCTAACAACTACTCTGGGTACATGACAGCAGCTTGTAATTTTTAGGTACCCTGGTGTACTAGTGAGCCAGCCAAAATGAACTGACTCATTTTATAGTTCATCAATAGAAGGGTTAACCAATCAGAAGGCTCAAAATATTCAATGCGACGTGTATAAAATCGGCCATGTTTTTCCCGAATATTCACTGATAGCCTTTGATATCGAAGACTGAAGAATTACGGAACTGCTGCTGCTGGTGGTATTGGCGATATAGTCAGATTCAATAGAGTGTCTTCCTCGTGAGTGTTAATCTTTAACGCTGTTTCATTGAAGAGATTGCGTACTGCGATGTATTCGATATTCATAGACTATGGTGAACATGGTCAACAATAATAACACACTGAAAACAACCTCGGTCTGCCTACCCTATGTGAAGGGATTATCGGAAAAATACAAAAGATCTTTGGTCCATATAACATCAGGACGAACTTCAAAAGGTGTTCAACACTTCGCAGACACCTCTTCCCAGTAAGAACCCCCCATAGAGGAGAACATGACTGAGTACTGTGTGTACGCCATGCCATGCAGTTGTTGGAAGAAATATAAAGGGGAAACCTTAAGGTAAGACTGCATGAACATCGTAAAGCCGTAATACGAGGGGAAATAGAAAAATCAGATGTAGCTGATCACATAGTGGATGAGGTTGAAATAATAGACAGAGAACGTCACTGGATAGTAAGAAAACTTAAGGAATCAGCACATATGTTCTGTTACAAAAATGTCGTAAGCCTGCCAAGCATGGTCACGAATACAATATGGGAACCAGTAATAAGGATTGCTAGAGAAAAAAACAATAATAACAATAAATTGTAATAAAAAAATATTTACTGAGACATTAGGTCTCGGAAATTCATACACTGATGTCCACAAGGACAAATGGCTCAGTGGAGAAAAAAAGCGTTGGTTGAATTCAATGATTTAACCTAAAGACTTGTTCAAGGTGAAAAAAAACCTTGAGAGATTTGAGTTAAAGGGAAATAACTGAGATATCCAGAAGATGCATGGGACCTGATACTAGAACAATCTACTCCGGTGGACGAAATAAAGGGTCCGGTTCGAAATTCCAATTACCTGAAGAAGGCCGGAGCGAACAACAGTCGAAATGTCGTGAATATGGCAACAAATATGAGGACAACATTCCGAATAATGTAAATATTTTGAAATAAAGTACATGAAGACAGAGGATAGAGCTAAATGAAATAATTCGAAATATTGTGGAATAAAACATATCAACCATAAAAATCCCGCCACAACAGATTAATTTGTAATTAATAAGAAAGTAATTAATATAATATCTCTATTTTTAGGACATAGTCGTAGTGGAAATGAGTTATTCATTTATCTACAGGTTTTTTTCAATTACTCCAGGTTTAGAAAATAGAAGAAAAAATTAAAAACAAAACAAACTTTTCAGATGAAGATAAATACAGAAAAAAATGATTGGTATAATTACTTATTTTACGATGCGAATCTTTAATAAATGATTGACACAGTCATGTTTTTTTTCTTTTTCTTTAGGAGGGAAAGTAGAAAATAAATTGTCTTGGTACTAGAGATCCTTCTCTGACATAAAATTTCTATTGCATATTATGAAAAACTCGGAACATTCCATATTAATTAATAATCCCGACGTTACAACTATTTTTAAAATGCCTATATTAAAATCTTGTGTCACTTTGGGATATAAAAATACGGAAACAGTGTAGATTTTACAAGTATTCAACAGTTTTCAAAAACAGTCACACCATTTTTTGGGCGTGTATGATCTTCAAATAATTATTATTCTGGTTTTTGGTTAAGTGAGATTACTGCATGAGATTTTATCGACTTTCTACTTCATTGATTTCTTATGTTCTAAAACCTTTCATTTTTTATTTCAGTGTCGAGTTTAATGGAATATGGTCTCGACTGGAGCATTAATTTAACAGTCGAAAGGTCACAGGGAATTTAATTTGTAGATTAAACAAACTTTTTAGATTAATGCTTTCAACGGTTTCTTGTTAAAGGTAACGGGTCCATCTAAGTAATAGCAATTATAAAATGTCCTGGTCATATGCATACGTGTCTATTTGCATATTATTCTATTTTTCAATGTTTATTATTGTCACTTGAACGAATCACTTACCTGTTTGTAATTGGGCCGATGAATGGGTTGGTAATAAGTTGAATTATGGCTTTGGACGCAAACATCATGCCAACGACTACGGTAGCGTGTCTGAGAAATTGATGCCTGGTCATTGGCACCGAAATTCTGTTGGCCTCAGTCACATAGCCCTCGGTCCAACCCTGTGGCTCAATCGTAACATTCTCACAAATGTACGTGCTCGGCGTTGGTGGGGCGTAAGTCTTAGCAAATTTCTCGAAATATTTCATGAAGCCCTCTGACTCTGTTTCATTAGATGTTGGTGTGGCGTTGTAGCAGATCGTCTCGATTACGGCCGGTTCGGACACATTGACCATAACACGCCTTGTCTCGTTCATGATTATGTGTTTGCTTTGAATTTGATATAAGAAGTTTGGGATGATGGGAACTGAAACGAGAAAATAAAAGGAGGCGGTTGACTGATAGAAATGGATGTCTCTTTCAAAATGGATGTCTCTTTCAAAATGGATGTCTCTTTCAAAATGACAAAGAAAACAAGGAATTGACATCGGGAAAAATAAAAAGAGGGATGAAAAGATTTATATTGATAAGGTTCTATTATCAACTCTTGAACAGATGCTCATTACTGACTGTCTCTCCATTACTCACTAACTCACTCACTGTCTCACTCGTTCACCCTGTTTCTTTATCAAGAATAGTTTAGTCAAGTCTATTCTAAATTTTAAAATCTTATACATTTTAATTCGAGAAAAAAGGTGAAACTCTAATAGAGATAGAGTAAAACAATAAGAGAAAAATGAAAACTAAAAAAGAAGAGTAAATGAAAATGGCAATGAGAAAAAGATAAAGTTTTAAACAAAAGACGAAGAAAAAAAAACTAGAAAACATTTGTAAGTAATGAAGTACAACAAAATCAGAATAAGCAATAAGAAAGGCAATCTTCTGCTGTTAAATTGTCTCGTTAGAAAAGGTACATGCATGATGCTGTCCACTTCTTATATGCTCCACTCTTGTCTTCTATTGGCTTCTACCATTGCAACTATTCTCTCACCTTCTGTTCTGACCAACATTCATTGTGCATTGATCCCTTGAGATAAAAAGGTGAAAGAAGACTGAGCTAGAACCATCTGCGAGTGTGAAAAAGAAGCAGAAAGAAAGAAGCAGAAAGAAAGAAGAAAAGAAAGAAGCAGAAAGAAAGAAGGAAAGAAAGAAGCAGAAAGAAGGAAAGAAAGAAGCAGAAAGAAAGAAACAAAGAAGCAGAAAGAAAGAAACAAAGAAGCAGAAAGAAAGAAGGAAAGAAAGAAGGAAAGAAAGAAGCAGAAAGAAGGAAAGAAAGAAGCAGAAAGAAGGAAAGAAAGAAGCAGAAAGAAAGAAACAAAGAAGCAGAAAGAAAGAAGGAAAGAAAGAAGCAGAAAGAAGCAGAAAGAAAGAAGGAAAGAAAGAAGCAGAAAGAAAGAAGAAAAGAAAGAAGCAGAAAGAAAGAAGCAGAAAGAAGGAAAGAAAGAAGCAGAAAGAAAGAAACAAAGAAGCAGAAAGAAAGAAGGAAAGAAAGAAGGAAAGAAAGAAGCAGAAAGAAGGAAAGAAAGAAGCAGAAAGAAGGAAAGAAAGAAGCAGAAAGAAAGAAACAAAGAAGCAGAAAGAAAGAAGGAAAGAAAGAAGCAGAAAGAAGCAGAAAGAAAGAAGGAAAGAAAGAAGCAGAAAGAAAGAAGGAAAGAAAGAAGCAGAAAGAAAGAAGGAAAGAAAGAAGCAGAAAGAAGGAAAGAAAGAAGCGGAAAGAAAGAAATAAAGAAGCAGAAAGAAAGAAGGAAAGAAAGAAGCAGAAAGAAAGTTCATCATTGTTTACTAGTATTAAATCTATAATGTAATGGCAGATAGAAGAAGAATGATAACGATTTATAAATAGTGGAGGGGAAGAGGGTGATAGTGAGAAAGGAGAAAAGTAATGAGTTATTAGCAAAGTCTCACAGAGTGAGAAAGTAAAGACGGACTGAGTGAAGGAGATCAGGAAGATTGGGAGAAAGAGAATACGAGGTAATAAAATTACTACTCGAGTTTAAACCTAATTTTTTAAAAAAAGAGAACGAGGAAAAGTGAGAATTGCAAGAAACACAGTGAGAATAGAAGTAGGTAAACTGATAAAGAATGAACGAAAGAAAAAAAAATGCATTTTCTAAGTGGGGAGATGTGTCAGGATCGAGAGAGAAAGAAAGAATATAACTAATATTTGAGTTTATAATTAACACAACAGGGTCGACGCCGACTGATGAGGATTGGTATAATGTAGATGAATATTGAGAGCAAAGACTAAGTGATATCATCATCGGTAATAATAGCACACGTATTCGTTCCAAATGAATGAAATTGTTCTCTCATAGCAGATACAATCGTCAATTGAGATACCTATGGATCTGCATAGCAATTAGCATTAGGCAATTTACTTTCAGGTATTCATATTAAATATAAAGAAAAGATAAGGACGCCAATAAAATATTTTAAGAGGTAAAATTCTTTGTTTCATAATTAAAATAATTTATTAATCTGCTTGTATTAATGCATAAATACCGTATATAGTGTGAGTTTTTATGATCATTTTTTTTTTACAAAAATAGGTGGTCGTACTATATATAGAAACAATTAATTTTGAGAGGTTACAAATCATGCATTTTCGGTGACCGGTAACACTATACAAAGATAATATTTCTGGAGGGTTAAAATTAATGCAAAAAAAAAAAAAAAAAAAAAATCTATATACGACGTAGGTTTATACACGGTAAACTATAAATTCATCTTCATTATATGAATATATAATTATATGAATAGATATGAAGATAGAATTATATGAATAGACTAGCAGCATGGCCCGGCGTTGCCCGTGCTTGATTCAAAAATCGTACGATTCATACAGCAATTGCTATCACTTGACTTAAAATATTTTTGCCCTTCCTTGCCTTTAAAGGAGTGCCCTTTGCCGTGCTGATGTTGTTACATGCCTTACTTCTTGCTTATCTCACACTGCGAATTTTTTCTAAGTTCTATACTAAACATTAAATTTGTTACGAAAAAAGAACTAAACAAAATGAATACAAAACGATCAGCTTAAAAAAGGACTCGTAACTGGAAAAACCGAATGAAAAAAGAATGTTAACAACAAATAATTTTTCACATCCAACCCAGTTCTGCGGAATCAGAATCAACGAATGAGCCAATTGGAGTAAAGTGCCATGCAGATTTAAATTTTTCCCACTTGTGACGAATGCAGCTATCGATTTTTTTTGCATGCTAGCATGCTAGTTAACATTCGTGTCAGTCAGCTGTTGGCTCTCATGCTGGCCAATAGAATCTTCCTGCCTATACGTGGCACCAGCTATAGGCTCTCACTCTGGCCAGTAGAAAATGGCTGCAAACTACATGAAAACTGCCGTAGAAGCATGAAAAATCGATTATTTCCACTATCGATGGGAGTTGGGAAATGCAAAGTCGGTCTTGGCCTTTCCCGCTAATGTGCATGTAAATTTTGGTGCAAATCCGTCGAAAATTGCGGCCGTGCATTCGTTACACACACACACACACACACACACACACACACACACACACACACACACACACACACACACACACACACACACACACACACACACACACACACACATCCTGTCTTTTATAGATAGAGATATGAAGATAGAATTATATGAATAGACATAAAGATAGAATTATATGAATAGATATGAAGATAGAATTCTGTTGTACTGCAACCTGAACAAGGGGTGCCAAAAGTTCTGATCTTTGGGATTTTGACAAGAATTTTTTTTCTAATCGAATTTATCCCGAGTAAGGCTGATACTGGGTGTAAATGAATTAGAAAACAGGGACATTATGATACAGCGATAACAATAGAAGGGTAATCAAGAAGACAGTAGATAGCGATTGACACTAACTTTAAATTTTTGAACATCAAGGTTGTCCGGAAAGAGTTCCACAAGCGAGAAGTGCAAGAAAAGAAACTGTTAGCATAGAACTTACGGTTACATCTCAGCCAGTTCAACTGTAAAATGATAAGACTATGTTGCCAATCTACTGATGCGCTTAAATTCAAAAAGTCTAGGTACAATAGTAAAGAGCTCATTCGAACAATTAACATGAAAGTATTTATAGAAAGGTGGAAAGCAGAGGTGTCAGGCCAGGAATAATAATATTGCCAATTCTTTGGATTTTATCAAGAATCTCTAAATACGTAGCAGGAGCACCAGACCCTATGTGGCAGCAATATTGTAATCATGCGCGAATAAATATAAATATGTAAAATAAATTCTGAAGAGAAAGATTGTCTAGCACGACACAGTTAACCAACTTTCTTAGTAGTTGACTTAGCAATGGATTTAATGTAGTTTTCCACTTCATGTCAGCCGAGAATGCTAACCCAAGAAGGTGAAACGAGTCACTCTCCTGGAGGTTAGCATCAGTCATGTTAATGTAAGACGATAGAGAATAATTTGCAAGTGTAGGTATTTTCAGATTCACAAAAATATTATTGTGTATTTTGTCAATTTAACATTGAAATACGAAAGAAAACTTTCTTGTTTATCAATTAAAGATTAATCATTCTGAATACGCTCAGCTATAATTTGACAGCTACAAGATTCCCTCTGATAATATTCCTTTCCGTTTGCAAGATTATTTTACCATATACATTATGTATTGCTTTGCCTCTGTGAAATCAATATGATATTTGAAGTGGTTGCATATTGGTTGATAGACGTTTCAACTTTGTAAAAATAAACTTGTCATTAAATGGATAGTTCTTTTGATCTTATTAATGCGTCCAAAGACAATTCGTGAAAGAAAAGTTATAGTTTGAGGTGAGTATACATTTTAATACTTTAAAAAAATCCTTTACAAGAAAACTTTACACGCGTTGTAGTTGTGTGGACAAGTGTATTAATATATAGAAATGATTATTTGCAAGAGAAATATACAATGTGAAATATAAAATTCGTCTCCTTAAGATAATAATGTAATACATTCTTGGCTTAATACTGGGATTTTCAAAATAATTTTTTTTCGTTCAAATGGCAGGCAACATTTTTTAATCAGTATCACCCCATGCAAAGCAGTAAAGCCACTAAAACACAAGGGGTTACAGGGTATGGAAGAATTAAGAACAGAAACATTAATAAGAGGAAAGAGTACTCAGAAGCAACTGGAGATAGTGATTGACATTGCATTTAAATTTTCGCAGATTAAATCTGGAAAGCATGGAGTCGTAAGAGAGTTCCACAAGCGAGGAGTGCGAGAAAAAACTGTTAGTAAAAAAAAAAAAAAATCAAAATTATGAGATTCTTTTAAACCAATTCAAGCCAAAGTATATTTGAACGTACCTTTCCTTAATATAATGAATGGATAGAATAAAATGCTATTCTAATTAATCTTGGGCTGGACTGAAGCACGAAATCCTTTTCTTAGCTAGTTACCAGAAGATATCACTTAATTCTTTTTGAGGGTTGGAAGGGCCCTACTAGCATCAGCCATGTTTATTTTTGCTTTCTTTTGATATTTGTTTGTTTTGGTGGTTCATCCCCTCCTCACTCATGGTCATTCATCAGATTTTTATGTATAAAATATTTATCACCAAATTTTTATCTCATGGGGTGCGTTTTGTAGGTCACCCCCTCCTGAGAGGGTGCGGCATTATGGTGTATGGAGGATTGATTGGCGACAGATGAGTTCTTATGGTGAATGGGTAAATTGTAATGAGTGAATGTGTCGTGAACCCATTCTCCCTTTTCGGCCTTTTGCCATAATTGTATTTATTTACAATAAATAGAGGATATCACTTAACTCCTCTCACATGACGCACTTATTTTCCCAAAGTTCACCAAATGTCTCTCTACCCAAATTTGAATCATAAACTTATGCTGAAATAAGGCGATCAACCTTCGCGGCTGTTTATTTCAGACAATATTTTTATATCAAACAAAAATTCCAAAGCATTAATAAATAAAATTAGTCTCATATTTGTTAAATTTTAGTGAGAAAGATTCGTATATTTATTTTGCTCATAATTTAAAAAAAGAAACGAATAACAGTGAATTGCTTATTGACATCATTAATCATACAACTGAAAAGACGAGTCATAGACGAGTCATATGCATCTAACATTCAAATTTAGCTGGAAGGATTAAATATTTGAAATTGTGTCGTGAATCGAGTACTAATCATTAAAATCTACAAATTTCACTGCTGATTTAACGTACTGACATACGTTAAGAGAAATTTCTCTTAAAATGCAAAATAAAGCTAAGCTTAAATTCTATAATTAATATAGAAAAAAAATTATTAAACAAAATAGAAAATGAACCGTTGAATCAAGAGCAGTAGTAGTTATCAAAATTAAAATTCTAATATGAAAAATGAATATATAAAATCGAAAGGATGCATTTAAACACTTCGTATTATGTTTTCCTATTATCGTTTTTCTTTGTGTACGTTTTTTTCTAAACTCGCAATATTTTCGTAGGCTTAGTCGGACAATTTCTCGTTCTGTATTTATCAGTATATTGTTTTACTTGTAGAATCTACGATATCCATGTTTATTGCATTTGATGCAATCAAATCTTTAAAACAAAAGATGAAATTGCAGGAAAAATGTCAACAAAAATGTTCAGACAAGATGGAGCCAGTCTAGGCCTGTCATTGCTTTTGTTGTGTCTAGAAAAATAAAATAGAGGAAAGTGAGCGTTCGAGAACAGAAAAGAAGTAAAAGAAGGTGAGTTCGTTGGGAGGGTGACAAGTATATTGTAACAGCCATAATTGTCCAATGGCCCGTTTACTTGGAGCTTTTCCGTAAAGCCGGCACAAATGAGACTCCATCTCCAGAGACTTGGGCCGAGGCGACCATCCTATCAGAACAAAAACGTCTCATGAATGATAATCAGAACGCCCGTCAATAAAATTTACATCAGCCTCGATTTATCTGCGTCGATCTAGGAAAGAATTCTCTCCGACCATGAAGTAACCACCCAAACCCGATCCCAGTATTTACATAGCGGGCCTGTGGTGCTTGCTCTCCACTCTCACCGAACCCCACGACATCGACTGCGTGCGCGGTAAGGCACTCTTTCAGTGTGTGCGTGTAGAAGGAATCTCCGTGCCACACTCCTGCAGCCTCGTTATCAATCTTATGACGTTGAGATTTTCGGGTAATCTCAGTCGGCTTAGCCGGACAATGACTATTACAGTTGTTGAATAGTCAGCCTCACTTTCAGTTTCTCTCACCTTCCCCACTTATAATGTATCCAGATTCGTCCCGACAAAATTGAAG